GGTGCATATATAATAAGATTGAGTCATTTCGGTTCCTGAAAGAAGGGTGGAGGATATTGCTTCACATCTTTGCACTTATCAACACTGAATCGCAGGAGATTGTCTGCCTAGATTTCAGCATAGTTGCAACATAACTGAAAGTACGTAAATTTTTATTTTACTCACACACACGCACACACACTGCAGAACGCAATCCTGTCTTTCTAAATATAGTTCTAACCCTGATTTGCACAAAGACAAGAGAAAGACTGAGCTGTCGTCTTTAATAAGGCTCAGTGGAGCAACCTGTTAGTGGCCCCGTTCCGCGCCCTAAACTCCTCCGCCTGATACCGAGCAATTCAATCAATGCTTATCTGTCCAGTGAAAGCCCCGTACAGGCATGCATGGCATTATAAAGAAGTATGCGGTTAAACAACAGCCATCTGCATGAGGCAGGCAGGCAGGCCTGTTGCTCGCTCTGTGGGTCAGCTATTCTTAGTATGTTATTTTCAGCTTATAGCATTAGAGTGCTAAGATTAGCCGCCGTGGCGCTCTGCTATCATACCATCTCCACAAACTCTTAATATAACCGTACAGTGGAACAGTTATTAACAGAGAGTTTTGTCACCGTCATGTGATATGCGGTTAGGATTTACATCTGTTATTGTTGACCAGGGGTCTGCTTGGTAAAAATGTCAGTTTCTTCTTTTTGTGTTTCAATTCTGTCGTTCTGCTGGATGCAAATAGAACTGCTGCCAAATTCCGAGTGTGGGGAATCTGAAGTAGTTTTCATAACATTGGCTGTGATCTTTTCACTCTGTGATCAAAAGACGGACTGCAATTAATGTGTTGTGCTAACTGAGGCAAATAGGTCAAGCTAAGTGTTTCTTAAGAGTGCCAATTTAAGGATTTAATCTGTAACACTAACCAAGCTCAAGGAAACAGGTTCAAAGCAACAATTTGTGCTTGTGAAAATATGTGATCAGAGTCGAGCCAGAAATCTATGGGAGCGATGCTGCTGTCAGAAGATGTTTATTGCAATGCTAAAGTGCACTCACTGTCAGTTTTAAACCCCTGAAGCTAGTCTTCAAACAAATGTTATAATCATTCTGACAATTTAGAATAAAGCAAACGTTGAAGGCTAAATATTCTGTTGAATGAACAAAATATTTTGAATGAACGGTTTGAAAGTCATCTTCTGTCAGCTACTGTTGGGTGTGAATTGTCTTGCAGTAATTTGTTCTGGTTTATTTGACATGTCTGCATCAGTGAAAGCATACAAAGTGTCTCAATTTTAAAGAACTCATAAAGAGATCTAGTCTAATACACATGCAGCAATTTTATGCCCAGCAATCAAGCAGTCCCTTAATGTAGGTGATAATTAGAGACAATTAATTGGTTCGTGCAGTTTTTAATATATTTCTGAATAAATAAATGACTGTTCATGCATAATCTTCTTGTATCTGTAGCCTTTCACACTGTGACCCCAGGCTACTTTTTTTTTTTAATGAGTTTTGGATTATGCTAATGACAGTGAGGAACAAATAATGTGATAATGCGGTCTATGGAGGACTATATTGTAGAAAATTGAACCTTTTGTAATGCTGATATTATGAATGTATTATTCAACATAGTGAGCGGAATGACTCACTTGCTGATATTTAATAATGTCATGGCTGTGATTACATTTGCTGTTGGATGGAAAAACTAGTTTTTACATACATTATCAAGATTTAGATTATTGCAAGAAATAATTTGGATAGGTTTACCCAACCATTTTACAGAGTTTCAATATATTTAGTTTTTAATTCTCACAGATATGCATATTGTGTTCCACACAAATACATTATATATATATATATATATATATATATATATATATATATATATATATATATATATATATATATATATATATAATAGGAATAAACTCACATTTCTAGTAATATGATTTAAATATTTTTTATATAATGTATAAATAATGTATTCTAAATAAATTTCTAAATAAAATATACAATGCATGTTGGGGAAAGCTATTTTCTATTCTGATTATTATATGTATAATTTATTTTCTTAAATATATATCAGGAAATTTAAGTTAAATATATTTCCTTTACTTATATTTACTTATACATTTTGTGGACATTTTGTTCCCCCTGTATTTAATAATGCATCCAAAAATAAACCCGGAAAACATATTTTTGCTGAAAGGGATGATCTGGATTCCCCTGTCCTGTTTTTGCTGTAAAGAATAAGCTTCTACTTAAAAATACAGCAGCGTTTCCTGCTTTAGACACGCCTGCAGCCCAGAATAACATCAGCCGTAATGAGCACTCAGTCACCGCAGCATATGCAGCCAAAAAAGCATCACTCTGTTTTTGCTAAGAAACACACTGTATACCCTCCAAATATATATATATAAAAAACTTACTGACAACAGAGGTTAAAAAATAGAATTCAATTGAACTGTGGCAGAGGCTGATTCATAGGGCACCTGCTTATTTTGCAGCATGTTATCTGTTCTCTGTATATAAATGATGTACCAGCCTCACTGTAGGAAAGGTTAACAGATGCAGCATTTGAAGCATACTAAAATGTTGGAATATTTATGCTCTTTTTTTATACACAACATTAAAAATGTCATGAACTCTATAATCTAATTTAGTTATTCAACATTACACTGACTCTATCAAGCCTATTTATACTGAAGAAAATTTTCATTTCAAATTAAAAGGTAGCAGCACATCATTGTGTGAGACATTTCTCCCAATACAGACTGTCATGTATGCATAGACGGTTAATTAAGAGTATAATTGACCTTTTTCACATATAAGAGGTCATTGTACTACAAAAACATATGCTGTGCCAAATATATTGTATTTGACAGCAATGCCGTACCACACAAGTGTGAGTAACTGTTTTTATTATGTGGTCACTATTGCTTTGTCTGTTATTACAGATCGTTTGATATGTAGGCTACTGAGTATTTATGCGTTTTAACCTAAATCACAGCTGCGTCCATCTATGAAGGATGTAGGCTGTCAAACATAGACAACTGTTAGCCAATCACAGCAGTGGGCGTTTACTTCCGAGTCTGCAATCCGCCACACCTATTCAAACAGAGCGTTCCAATGAGGGGGGTCAAAACAGGACAGACAAATAGCCTATTACTTCTAAATTATGATGTTTTTTGATGTACACATTTTGATAACATTATAAGTGGACCTCAGAGAACAGTATAAAATAGTTAAAAAGGCAGTTCATAACCCCTTTAATGGCGTGTGGGAGGTTTGCTTTTATGGCTGGATGCAGCACTATAAACTCAATGCTTTGATCATCTCTGTAATCAACAGTAATGAGGAACATCATTCTATGAGAAATGCATTGCTCAAGGGATTATGGGAAATGTAGTACAGCAGATGAGTCACCATATCCCTGTGGGGAAAGGGAACCGTTTGGACGCAGGGCAGGATGCTTGTCATCCCTTCCTGATAAAAATAAAACAGTGTGCTTTCGGTCTTCGAATTTGTGTTTACTGATTCAGTGCCACATTTGCACCACCATTCTCATCTCAAGTCATAGCGTTCAGTTGAGAACTTATAAGTAAAACCACAAGTAAAGACAGTTCATGAAAGCTAAGGTGCTTGAAATGTTTATGTTGGTGGGGGTGGGCAGCGGAATAGCTTACATAAATTTGACAGGGTGCTCTTATTTTTGCCGAGTTAAAATTACCAGATGGCTCCACATGTTTGACAGTCTTTCACACATTCCCTATATTAAGATTGTGCTCAGAAAAGCAGTTATATTTAGCCCAGTTACTGCTGTTTGCGATTCTTTTTTCAGCTCAACTGGCGTTAATACATCAACAGCTCTTCTTGGCTTCATTACACATAATGTTCTTGCAAAGGCACGAGGCCAAAACACGAGGTGTGAGTATGTTTTGTCTCATAACATTGTTTTAGTGCTGACATCAGGTGATGCAAAAATGGCCCACGTCCCACTGTAGTCTCAACAAGTGCCTTATTAACATAATTAAAATAGAGGGCGGGACTGATGAAAAACGAACGTCATTGTTCTTTTTTTAGTGAATCAAAACATTCAG